ACCTCCAGGATTTTCTCCATTCAAAGGGATCAATCTGCAGAGACTGTCACTGTTTGTTTTTTTATGGACTGCGTAGCACTGTTTACATTAGGGGGGAACTCCTACTTAGGTCTCCTAAATTATGTTTTACTGCTTTCTTTACCTGTGGCAGAAGGACTTAGAGGGAGCTGACTGACTAAAGGTCTCTTCTCCCCCTTTTGCTCCTGAAATCATAGGTTTATTTAGGATTTGTTGGTCCTGCAATTAAACCTATTGACATGGTCATTTTCACTGTTTGTCTTCATGATTTTGTTTGATTCTATATTTTGAAGGCTGGAGAACACTCTATAATGTGAAACTAATGTTTTTTTTGCTTCCTGTTGGCTTAATAATCTCTAGTAAAGCTATTTTTGAGAGTCTCCTGCACTTGTGTTTATAGTGTCCCTATTCAATCCGGTGTGTCAGGGGGGTTAAGAGATTGTTCTCAAATATGTCTCCTTCAAATATATCAACCAATTTTCTGACCCTCAGGACAGATACCTTATTTTGCTCTGCAAAATCAGTGATTCATTCTACACCCTGGTGAACTTATATACCCTGAATTTTAAACAAAATTGATTTCTGGTCTCATTCTTAACTACTTCCCGCCCGGCCTATAGTAAGATGATGGCCGGGCAAACCTCTCATCCCCGGCTCGGGTAGGGCTTCTTTTCATGCCATCCATTGTGTACAAGTGTATCTAGCTGTGAATGGTCACAGTGATCACATGCACAGGCTGGGCCAATCAAAACCCATCTGTGTCATGTGATTAGCCATGGCCAAGCACAGCTAATCACAAAAAAAACCACAAAAAAAAACAAAATGATCAATTTTCTCTTTTGTATTGTCACCAGTCAGTGTCCCTGATCACCGCCACACAAGTTACATGATGACAGTATATTAAAAAAAATTGTGAAAATACTTTGTTTTAATTCTTCATTTTCTGAAAAAATATGAAAAAAAATTACAACTTCAAAAAACTCGCCATGCAAAATGGGATCATTTGGAGGATATCTGTACTGTTATGACATTTCTTGGGTCTCAAGAAATTAGATTGGTTGTCAGTACCTCAGGATTGATCAATTTTCAGATATATCCCATAGTTTGGAACTCTATTACTTTCCTACAGACAAATGATTTGTGTTATTTTTCACCAAAGAAATGTAGCAGAAATACATCTTGGCCGAAATATATGAAGAGCAATTATTTATTTGCAAACTTTTATAACAGAAACAAAGAAACGTCCAAAATGTTCGGTATTTTTTTTGTTAATTTAGCAAAAAATAAAAACCCCGGCGGTGATTAAATACCACCAAAAGAAAGCTCTAGTTGTGTGAACAAAATGATAAAATTTTAGTATGGGTACAATGTTGCAGCGCAATTGTCATTCAAGTGTGAGAATGCTGAAACCTGAAATTGGCCCAGAAAGGCGGTAAAAGTGCCCGGTATTGAAGTGGTTAAACAGGTTTCTGATCTTCATCGAGGGACTATGATTATCAAGGAAGATTTTAATCTGATTAATGATCCTGTTTTGAACTCTTCCTCCACCAAGAGATCTGCATCCCAATCCCCTACCACATTTTTTATAACTTCTGTGATATCTGGTGATTGGCTCAGAGAAAACCTATACCTTTTTTTCTTCGCCTTCTACATCCTATTCCAGGATTGACTACTTCTTAACGAATAAACACTCATTTCAAGTTATCTCTCGCTCTGACATAGGAACAATCTCTTGGTCAGAGCATGCTCCCATTTTGAACACCCCACCCAACCCAGTAGAATTTATACTTGTCTTTTAGCTGATCAAAGATTACTATCCTAAATTATGCAAGCCCATAACTTCTTCTTTGAGCATAAAGACATTCCTGATGTTAACTGCTTTACTCCATAGAATGTCTACAAGTCTTATAGGTGTGGCATATTGGTTAAATTAGCATCTCATATGAAGAAACAAATGACTCAACAGATTGAGTACCTCCTTTATTTTATAGTAGACAATGAGAAAGTAAATACACTCCAACCCACTCATCAACTGTTCTTGAATATAATTCTTGATAGACAACAACATAGACACATTCTCTTTCATAAATAGGAACATCAGTTGAAATGTGTCAAGACTAATTACATGAACATGGATTGGTAATAAATTAGGTTTGTGGCTAGCTAGGAAAGTCAAGTCCCAGCATAATAAATGGAAAATAGTATCTATCACGTACCCTACTACAAGTTGTAGACTTGCAAACCCGAAAGATATAGTGAACTCCTTTAGTGACTACTATCAATATATGATTTGCAAAACGATACAGCCACACCACAACTGACTATATCCCATGTAGAATCTTTCTTGCAAGCTACTAACCTCCCTGCCCTATCTGGCAGATCAAATGAATTCTATGTCACAGCCCTTTACCACTGAGGTATTAATGTTTTTTTTAACGAATACTACAAACAACTCGATAACCTTCAGTCACCTCATTTTCTACAGGTTTTGAATCTTGTCGAGCCCTCTGGTTCTCTTTTTACTGAAATGTTACAAGCTGTAATTGTTACAGTTCCTAAACCCAACAAGGACCCCTCTATCAGTACCAATTGCAGGCCTATATCACTGCTCAACTCTACCAGGTGGAACTAGGAGACAGGTACCCAATGGGAAAAGACAATTGATTAATCTTATTTGTTATGTTTGAGGAGTCCATTGAGGTTCCTAAGAGCAGTATTGCAAAAATATTGTATTACAGAATGGCTCAACTCTGCAATTATTTCTCTATATTCCACTCCCTCAACCAGACATGATGATTTTGGGGTTTAATAACTCTTTTGTAGCACCAGACAGTGAATTTTCTTCATGCCAGAGATATATATTTTAGTGTCTTTTCTGCCTACTTTTATTTAAGACAAGTAAAAGTTCACAAAAAAGGCTTCCCACACAGGGGTTTTCATCATCAAACATAAACTGTATTCAGCCTTATGGCTCTTTATGCAGCTTAGCAGTGTTGGCCCTCCTGACCATCAAACACATCCAATTGTCATGCACTAACCCCAGCACCTCAGCTCTGTATTCTTTCTGCAGCATCCCAGCTGCTCTGTCCCTCATGGACTGTCTTCCATACTCAGACGCTTGTGCCTCAAACTGTCCTGGCCTGGACAGGTTGGTGCCGCAAGCACCTCTCACTGGGGTGGGGCCCTGAGCTCTGATCTGAGCTCCAATTTGAAGAAAGTGCACACCTGGCTCATTAATGTGCTTGTTTCCTCCAAAATCTGGACTTAACTATATAATCACACAATGGCATGGCCTTGCAGACATCAGGTCTGTTATCTAATCGATGTTCATATCCAATGGTACTAGACAGGGATTGTAGAAGAAAAAAAAGTGACTGCACGTTAGTCTTAACAAACATATCAACGCTGTTGCAGTCCTGCAGATGCTGTAAAGTATATGTGTCTTTTTTGATGGCTTGTCTTCAATAAACTCCTAAGATCTTCTGCATATGAGTGCAGTTGTCCACTTTTTTTCTTCTGAGAGTCTGTGGTTGCGAGCTAGACCTGTACCTTTTTATGTGTAATGATGTAGAAGGCTAGATTGAAGTGGATGGACCTGAAACTGTGCAGCTATTTTACTCTATGTACTAGACAGGAGTGTTCCCTTTCACCAATTATATTTACATTATTTATGGAACCCCTGTCAAACAGAATAAGGTCTAACCCTCTTATTACACACATTACTGTACATAACAGGGACCACAAAATCAGCTCATTTACTGATGACATCATCCTCATGATTTCTAATCCAAAAATATGCCTGCCGGAGACTCAACTTATTCTGTTGAAATTTAGTGATGCTTCATATTATAAACTGAATGCAACTAAGTCTCAGATTTCAGGATTCCATGTACCTTCTGGCCTAAATTCTCAATGTCTTGCACAATTCATATTCATATATACTGCTACTGAGCTAACCTTCTTAGGCATATGAATTTCTGCAACTACTACCCAGCTCTCTGATCTAAATTATTAAACATTTCTCCTGTCACTACCTCTGGCAATAAGGCAACACCAGTACCACAAACTATCTACAGCAGGGAGGACAGCAACTCTTAAAATATTTTTGCTCTCTAAACTACTTTATCTATTTATAACTGTAGTTATTCCCCTTCTGTACTCTCACCTCTCATCGGTACAGCATCTCTTTTCCTGATATGTATGGGAACAGTAACCTCCTAGGTGTTCGCTTACTATTATGACAAAACATAAGCAGAATAGAGGTATTGGTCTTTCAAATGTGTATATCACTAAAACTCATGTGCCTTAGACCAAATTAGATATTGGTGATCCCCCTCTACCAACATAAAATATGATCTCTTTTGGAATTGTCCTATCTCCACCATAGGACTCTTGTCCCACTAATTATAGCACTGAAGATGGGACTACCCTGCCTCAAAACTTATCCATCACTGCATGCAACTCATCATGCATGGTTTGTAACGTTGTTAACCCCACATGTTCTTTTAACCAATTGCCTACTGGGCACTTTTACCACCTTCCTGCCCAGGCCAGTTTTCAGCTTTCACTGCTGTTGCACTTTGAATGACAATTGCGCGGTCATGCAACACTGTACCCAAACAAAATTTTTAGCCTTTTTTTGAGACATATAGAGATTTTTTTTTGTTGGCATTTAATGGCCACTTAGTTTTTTTTTTTGCTAAGCAATTTTTTTTTCTTCATTTCTGTTATAAAGTTGTGTAAATAAGTAATTTTTCTCCTTCACTGATGTGCACTAATGAGGATGCAGTGATGGGCACTGATAGGCTGCTCTGATAGGCACTACTGATGAGGAGGCACTGATAGGTGGCATTGATGGGCATTGACAGGCATCACTGATGGGCACTAAAAGGCAGCACTCATATATAGCACTGATAGGCAGAACTGATTGGAACTGTTAGGCAGCACTGATTGGAACTGTTAGATTGCACTGACAGGCACTGATAGGCAGCACTGATGGGCACTGATAGGTGGCATTGACTGGCACTGTTAGGTGGCACTAATTGGCTGTACTGATAGGTGTCACTTACTGGCACTGATAGGTGGCACTGAGTGACACTGATAGTTGGCACTGAAAGGCAGCTCTGATGGGCACTGATATGTGGCATTGATGTGCACTGGTAGGCACTGATATGTGGCATTGATGTGCCCTGGTAGGCACTGATATGTGGCATTGATGTGCACTGATGGGCAATGGTATGTGGCAATGATGGGCACTGATAGATGGCACTGATTGAGTTACACTGATCATCAGGACACTGATCATCAGTGTCCTGATGATCAGTGTAGATGTCCCCTCTGAGGAATGCCACTTACCAGCTCTCCTCGCACGCTGTCAGCATGAGGGGAGGACTGCCAATAACTGGCATTTCCTGTTTACATGCGATCAGCTGTGATTGGACACAGCTGATCACATGACAGAGCCTGTGTCATCGGTTCTTTACTGTTATTGGGGACTTGCTGTGTCCCAAGGACACAGCACACCACCGATCACCTCGCCACTCACCCCTGGGGAATGCATGCGCAGTTAGAGTGGGAAGACGTCATATGACGTCCTCCCAAAACCGCCACCCTCCCCGCGGTTAAAGTCTCATAGCATCTCTACTGCTATTGAAGTATTGAAACTTTTCATACCAAATCTCAACTACCACCCCTGGAAATCTAAGGGCCTTCTTTACCTGCCTGACCTATATACTAATCAGACTCTCCTCTCATTTGACTCCCTTAATGCTAAGTATAAAATGACACACATAGACTACATTATCTACTTACGAATCTATAACTTTTAAGGTAAATGTCCATTACCCTTATCCTTTGAAATATCTACCCCATATGTCTTTTCTTCAGCGAAAGCTCCTGTTGTCTGAAGGACATATCCTTGTTTTCTAAATACTCAAATATACAAAACAATAGAAAAGTAAACTGGAGAAGAGAAATCTTCACCAGCAACCACTAAACAGACTTTATAGGCACACCACCAGACATAAATAAATGTAAACAGATTTTATTACAATTCCTTGGTACATAAAAACATCCAACACAATAAAATCAAGTGAAAACAAAGATACTTTCTACTGGATTGGTATAACCGCTACCTTAGCTCTGTCCCTATATCCACCTGCCAGACTTTTCAGTGCCATACATTCATTTTGGTTTGTATACCTTCATTGTCCTGATGAAGCTATTTATTTGCAAAATGTGTTGATGTTTCTATATTTGGACAAGCATACCTGCGCATATATCCTGCTTATCTTTTGTTAATGAGCACACAACAATAGGCTAGCAGTTATACCAATCCAGTAGAGGGTATTTTTGTTTTCACTTGATTTTATTGTGTTGGATGTTTTTATGTACCAAGAAATTGTAATAAAATCTGCTTATATGTATTTATGTCTTGTGGTGTGCCTACAAAGTCCATTTAGTGGTTGCTGGTGAAGGTTTTTCTTCTCCAGGTTACTTTACTAATATATTAAATGGCACTGATGTATTTTCTAAAATGCACACTATGTATAAGTGGGAATCAGAACTTGGTAACTTATTTCTAAAGTCCTTGTGGCAAAAAGCACTTACTACCACTTATCAGGCTTCCCAATGTAGAAACCACTGGGAATTACACCAGAAAATAGTCTATAAGCTGGTACCTTACTCCATATAAAGTGGCCAAGTTTCACCCTCTATTCTCCACCCTGTGTTGGAGGCTCTGCAGTGAAACTGGTTCCTTATTTCATGTTCTTTGGTACTGTTGAAATAAAGTCTTTCACCTAATCTCTGAGCTTCTAGCTTCAAAAATAGAACCTGTCCCATTCGTTGCACTACTTTATATTGGCCTTGATCGTTTTCCTCCAAATATGAAAGCCGTATTGGTTCATCTTCTCCTAGCGGCCAAACTCAACATCACGGGAAAGTGGAACTCCATAGATGGTCCTAATATTAGCGACACTTTAGACTCATGGAACTGTCCATGTGAAATGGAGACATTATTAGCCATCAAGAATTTAAATAAAATGAGCTTCTGTAGACTTTGGTTTCTATGGCTGCATTATCAGAACTGTACAATTAAACCCTGTTAACTCATTGTATTCGATTTGATGGTGACCTGATCCCTAATCATTCCTCTTGTATTGCACCTATTTATTTAATAAGGCTGGAAGCTGTTAATCAGTTTGGTTTACCCCTCTCTCCTACCACCCTTCTCTGTCTTCCTTCACCTTTTTCCTTTCCCCCCCCACCTCTATTTCCTTCCCTGTAGAGAAGGCAAGTCCTTTATAGAGCTCATAATGTTATTTGTACAATTTATTCTTTTCTACCTCTTGTTTTTATGAGGACTTGTTACTCATGTTGTTCTGCATATTTTTCAATAAATGTTTTATGGGGAAAAAAATTGTTTTAAAGGATCTAGTTCACGATCCTGTGACAAGTAAAAGCAGCTATGGTATAATCATAGTACAAGCTGCATCAATCTTAAGATGGCTATATTCTAGAAGAATTTAATTTGAAAATGTTCATTTTAAGAGCATTTGCTTCATCTTCTAATCTTTAGTGAGGTCAAATGATATTCATTTTTTAACGCAGTGACAAGAAAATTTGAAGAAGCAGGAGGGAAAATTTGACAAGATTAATTTCTAATAGTGTATGTGGTTTGTATTTGGTCCATTCACTCCATAATCAAATGTTAAAGCAAACATTTTTTAAGTACTTTCAAAAGTTATCTCTGCACAGAAAAACAGTACTCCGAGGGGTTGACTTATTAACCTCCCTGGCGGTATGATTATTTCAGATTTTTGGTGCTGAAAGCAGTACCATTATTTTGCATGGAAATTTGGCGTTTTATATTGTAGGCCTGTAATTTTTAGGAATAACTCACTGAAATCTGTCCGAACAAGAGTATAGTAAACATCCCGGGCAGGATAAAACTTGAAACACGAAATCATAAATTATAATTTATATAAATTAATCATAAAAAATAATAATATAATATTAATAAATTTAATTCAATAATGTAATCAAACCAAAAACACTGAAATTTGAAATATAGCGCCAAGTTTGCACATCACTGAGCAAAGTCGCAAAATCGTTTTCAGTGTCTGATGACGAATTTCCCCATGAATCATTATCACTCAATTCTGCAAGTGGTTCTGATTTACTATCGCTGTTCTCTAGCTGGTCTAAAACCGCTTTTGACCTAAAGGGACGCTTTTTGGACGCCATGGACGTTTCTCAGTTTCCAGGCAGAAAGAACAGTAAACATGCAGGCAGGGCACAGGACTAAGCACTAGGGACAAAATGTATGTGAAATAGCTTGATACAGTAATGTTTTACTATGTGATTTTAGCGATTTTAGTGAATGTCACTTTTTGTCATTTTCAAATTTCCCGCCAGTTCCATCCCCCATACGTCCCGACGCTCGCAGGGGACGGAACCCAGATGACAGATGCCGGCATACGTCGGATTACATTGCCAGGGACACTGCAGGAGGGACATTGCGGGAGTGCAGGACAAGGTAAGTGAAGATGAGATCCCGGGGCAGCGCCGCATGGTATTCCCGAGTGTAGCTCGGGGTTACCACTTGTGGTACTGAAACTTTACCCCAAGCTACACTCGGGAATACTGCCAGGGAGGTTACAGACAAATAAGCTGTTCATTTGCAAAGAAACTTTCCTAGTAACATAGTGAATGAGGTGAAGCGCTGCTGATCTTGCATCTGTCTTGCATTTTTTATTTTCCTTGCACATGATTATATATTCTTTGGAATTTGTGAAACTTCACCACAAGTTTAGTGAATGTGATGAAATTGCACTTTGCAAAGAATACCCAATCACATGCAAGGAAAATAATAAAAAAAATAGCATTTTTGCTTGCACATGATTGGATGATGGAAGTTAGCAGAGCTTCAAATAAAGATTTCAGATATACTTGTTTAAAAGAAGAACCTGCATAGCTGCTAGGGTATATCACTATAGTAAGTTGCAATATCAAAGGACTTGCTGGTTTGCTGGTCAAATAGGTGAAAAATAGGAAAAAGACAAATTGTCCTACACTAACCTTATACACCAGATTGACATGGGACTACAGAGAACGTACTCTGAATTAAAGATTGTGGAAGCTTAGTCAAGGTCATAAATCCTGATTGAAGTCTTGGAAACATGCTGGAAAATAACAAACTGATTCTAGCGCAACTGAAAATAGTGCTAAAAAGCCACTACAAAGAACCGGACACTTCAGATTTGTACCAACAGCTGATTATTATCTCACAAGATTGCAAAGAAGCACCTCCGTATTTTATTGTTTAGAGTAACTGAAAATGTAAAGATCAGATGAATGCTTTGGAAATGAACTAATATAGGAGAACATCTTAAAGTGATAATAAACCCTTATATAAGCTCATTGAAGTGATTAGCCTCAGGTGATATAAGGTGATGAAGCAAGTCCCCTTACACAAGTTGTACCTGTTAATCTGTAATCCTCTCTTCTTACAGTACTCTCCTGTGTGCTGGAGGGGGGAGGGGATAGGCCATCACCATGGTTTTCCAGGTGTTGGGGACAACTGTCAGATGCAGATAGCAAAGGAGGCAGAGAGGATCCACATTAGGTGCTATGGACTGAGGCAGGTATGCTTTGTTCATTTTTCATTTTAGAGGTTTACAGTCACTTCATTTCTGTTTATACTAGACTGATAAGAGACCACATTAAGTTTCAACTAAAGCGCTTTTTAGATGGCTCTTTTGTTTCAGATGAGTTGATCATAGAAAGCCAGTCCTATAGAAAGAGAATGAAAGAAAAGGAAATCTCAAACCAGCAAACTGAAAAAACTAAATGAGAGGCAGCCCAGTACTCTACATTGTCCTCAGGAACCAGCAGTACCATTAATCCAGCCATATGTGAGTAGCCAGACTACTTAAAAAATCCAGAATACTAAACCCCATTTAAAAAAAATAATACTAGAGATGCAGAAAGAGACGCTAGAAATGAAAACATTTCCCCAAAGTTCAGCAGCTCAACAGGAGGACATACAGTTGTGTTCAAAATAATAGCAGTGTGTTGAAAAAAAGTCAATAAAGCTCAAAATCCTTCTAATAGCTTTTATTTCCATACACACAAATGCATTGGGAACACTACACATTCTATTCCAAATCAAAACATGAAGAAAAATATTTAACAAATATCAATGGTGCCGCGCTCCTAATTGTTATTATTTAAATATCATAAAAATTGTTTTAAATTAAATCCATATAATAGTGTAAACACAATATATATATATAAAAATGAAGTGCACCCATAAAGTGATAATACACTG